CGTCTCACAAAACCTCGAACCTTCCTATAATTGCAACAACGAAACACATATTTTAACCTGCTAGCAATACTCGCAGCTATCCCAATTTGATGGCATTAGCCATGCTAGTTTATATTAAAAAATAGCGCTTGGCAGTAACACTCACTGATCTGCCAAGAAAACACAAACCAATAAAACAATAGCCAAACATATTAGAGATATAATGATCTAAACAGAAAACTACACCAACAAACAAAAAACTAAAGGTCATAGATAGAACAAGGACAATACAAGAACATGATTATAAATTAAACATTCAAGAGGATTGCCCATAGACTTATACCATACACGATCATCGTGAAATGAAGCTCTCACATGTGAATATAATACAGGACAACGTGATGTGCGCACTTCACAGCCACCGTACGCACTCATGATCATTTACATCAATGTCAGGCTCTGCCACGGTCTCGTCATAAAATGATACACCCCACGGAAATATAATACGGGCACCAAGTACTAGCAGACAAATTCAGTCGGCTCCTGCAGAGATTGCTATCCAGATCAATCAGGGTCAGTAGCAGCCAGACACCCTAATATGGCAACCTAAAAAAAACTTATCACAACTGAAACAAGACTATAATTTACATATTTATTGGCTTGATTAAGACCTTTCCAGACTTTTAAGAACAAACCAATTGATGACAATCAAACAGTAAAAAATAGACTATACATGCAAAATGCACTGTTGACGTCTCTTTATACATGAATATGTGTTCGGTGTCCAGGGAACTCACCAAAGTCAGAAAACACAACCCCTATATTCCTCCATACCACAAATCTCTAAAAACGGGGCTGCAAAGGGGTCTATACAGACTGATACAGAAAAAATTTTGAACACTTCTGTGACGTCCACAGAAATGGGGCTACGGCTATTGGGCCAACTCCACCAATCAGGAGGAGACAGCCACGGACATTGCCGTTCGAAAGCGCTGGAGACGCTGTAGTACATATGCCAGGCCTGTAGATGGTGCTGTTCTCACAGAATCAGCCCATGAAAAGACAGTGTTAAATTGAGCGAAATGAGGAATGGCTAAAATGCATGATCTGTTTGGTATTTTGAAAAATATGCCTTATATAGGTATGGTTCTACACTATATTATTCAAATATAGCATGATAGGTCCACTTTAAATGGTTAAATGTTAGTGGAAGAGTTGTACAGAATATCTCTTATTTAAAGTCCTATTTTCCATAAATAACATGAGACATAACATCCTGCCAACACAACGTGTGGTTTAGGAAACGATTCATCTGTCTTCTGTCTGTCTGGGTTGTGTAACACTGGAGTCTGCCAAATTGACTGTAAATAGAAGTGTGCCAGCCATAGGTGCCAGCAGACAGAACAACACCCCAGTGGCATTGTATGACCACTAGAGGGAAGCACACATCAATGTATTTTTTATGTTATTCTAACTGAACAAGTGAATCGGATTCTTTTTAGAAAGCAGATCAATTGTTTGGTCATGGGTGTCCCCTATTTGTTGAGCCAGTTTTAAAAGCACTGTTGAAGTTATGTCTCAAATAAAGATTTAAAGGCCTTTTGAAGTGAAAAAGCTTTCATACCATTGTCATGAAGTACACATTTTTATGACTGTCGTGTTCAAGCACAAAGTGCATATTGCAGATGTTTTATAACATTTTTAAGCTACAGCTCAGCCTATTTTTAGTCAATAAGCTATGTGTCTACTTACTGAAATCCAGTGAGTTTTTTCTCAGTTCTCAGATTACAGGGCGTATAATTAAGTCATCAGTGTAGCCTTTTTCCATCTCAGATTCCAGGGGAAGAAGCTGAAAAGCTGAATAGTAATGAGGAACAAATGCACCATCAGCAAGTTGCTTAAATTCAAGAAAATTCAAACCTTATCCGCTATCATCCACGATACTCTGCTTACAGCTTGGACTAGATCTCCCTTAAATCCCAGCATAAGGCCCAACAGACTGACTGTGGGTTCTGGCAAGTTTTCTTAAATCAGACCAAGAGAGGAGCTCAGTGGTAATGAGAGACGCAGAATGCAAAGAAAAGGCAAGTCAGCTCGTCTAATTAAATTCATACAAGAAGCCTCGTCTCTTTATGCCTTCTCTGCTGGATCTGTTGAGATAGGGGAGCAGCGCTGCATGAACATGCATTGTTGTAGCAGAGCTGATGCCACGCTATTTATGATGTTGAATAGTCAAGTGTTAAAGTGCAAATTTGCTTTACATGTTAAATATGGCTTAACATTACTCCACAGCAAGCTAGAGTGCGGTTATTTAATTGAAGAAAAGTCAAATCCTATTTAAACATTTGCACATTAGAAATCCAGTTAGCTACTGTGTGGTATAGAGGTATAGGTCAAATAAAAGCTGTCAATGTATATTATTGAAAATGGTCTTCAAGTCAAAGACCACAAGGGTCAAATATGGATCTGGTACATTTAGTTCCAACCTTGGTGGTCTCTTTAAGATCCAACACTTCACCACACACACAACCGAGCTATGCTACCCCCTTATTACGAGGTCAGTCCCCAACAGTGTAACTCTATGGTTGTGCTCCGCAGCTCAGGTGTGAGTCTGCATGTCCACTGCTAGAAAACAAGGTTAAAAAAACTACATTTTGACCCCGGGGATAAAGTAGTCCCTGAGTGTCGTGAAACCCATTTCCCCAGATTGTACCTCCTCCAGACTGCTGCTGTGATAAGGATTTAGTTCCTCAGGGTGTCCTAAATCCACTTACATAGCACTATCCTCCTGTATTTCGGCCTTTTCTCACTTCATCATCACATTATTCCCCCATCTGAATCACACTTTTGAAAATGTAATAAAGCCAGACTTGCCGATCTTGTGGACGATGAATATAACCAGAGGCAGGTATTATAGTTTCATCGCGCTGAAGGTGAAGACAGTACAGTGTTTTAGTTATGATGGTTTCTGAAAAGCATAAATCTGTGACACTGCTCTGCTGCGACCACTTAGATAATGAAGCAGAGTGCTGGATGTCATAAAACATGAAACCAGCTCCCACTGTGTACACAATGTTTATCACAGAGCCGTCTCGAATACTTAAATCATGATGGAGAAGGAGGTACATCAACTATAACAGATTAGATTGCTGTAATCCCCCTAAAATGTGTCTCACTCTGCTGCGTTTTGAATCAGCTTTGCCCAATGCTAATTACATTTGATGTATTCGTAAATATTTAGTAGCACAATCGTAATTTGAATACCACATGTCTATATATTTCTATATTGACACTAAAGGTTTAATTGCACAGAAGGATAAAATCATTCATGCTTTGAAGTCGGTACCGTACAGTATGCTGCTTGAATCATTTGACTTTTATGACTGCTTCTTGTGTGCATGTTCACCTGACAGTATGATGCTATATGTGTCTACATGAAAAGTGTAATACATTTTTTTTTTTTTAGAGCTAAATAATTGGCCTCTGATT